TTTCACTGAATGACCATTTTTTCCCCTGAAGGATTATACTCAGTTTTGCTGGGTAGGTGATTCTTGGTTGTAATCCTGTCTCCTTTGCCCTCAGAATATATTATTCCATGCCCTGCGGTCCTTTAATGTAGAAGCTGCTAAATCTTGTGTTATCCTGATTGTGTTTCCACAGTACTTGAACTGTTTCCTTCTGGCAGCTTGTAATATTTTCTCCTTGACCTGGGAACTCTGGAATTTGGCTACAATATTCCTAGGAGTTTTCCTTTGGGGATCTCTTTCAGGAGGAGATCTGTGGATTCTTTCAATTTCTATTTTGCCCTCTGGTTCTACTATATCAGGGCAGTTTTCCTTGATAATTTCTTGAAAGATGATGTCTAGGCTCTTTTTTGATCATGGCTTTCAGATAGTCCAATAATTTTTAAATTCTCTCTCCTGGATCTATTTTTCAGTTGTTTTTCCAATGAGATATTTCACATTATTTTCTAATTTTTCATTCTTTTGGATTTGTTCTACAGTGTCTTGATTTCTCATAAAGTCACTGTCTTCCAATTGCTCTATTCTAATTTTTAAGGAAGTATTTTCTTCAGTAATCTTTTGGACTTCCTTTTCCATTTGGCCAATTTTTCTTTTTAGGGCATTTTTCTCCTCATTGGCTTTTTGGACCTCTTTTGCCATTTGGGTTAGGCTGTTTTTTTAAGGTGTCAGTATTTTTTGGGTCTCCTTTAGCAGCTGTTGACTTGTTTTTCATGTTTCTTGCATCACTCTCAGTTTTTCCTCTACTTCCCTTACTTGCTTCTCAAAATCCCTTTTGAGCTCTTCCAAGGCCTGGGACTGATTCATATTTTTCTTGGAGGCTTTGGATGTAGGAGCTTTGACTTTGTTGTCTTCTTCTGGTTGTATATTTTGATCTTCTTTTTCACCAAAGTAAGATTCTGTGACTCTTTTTGCTGCTTGCTCATGATCCCAGCCAATTACTTGAGTTTTAAACTCTTTGTTAAGGTAAGAGTCTGCTTCCAATGTGGAGAATGTATTGTCCCAGGCTTAGGGGGTTTGTACAGCTGTTTTCAGATCCTTGTAGGGCCCTGTAAATTTTCAGTTCTTCCAAGGTGGTATGATAAAGGGCGAGGTGTTTACTCCTTTCCTGTCCTGTGACCACAAGTATTCCTTTCTGTCCTGTAACTGTGAGGAAGGGTTCCTCTCCACAGCCACTCCAAGCTCTACCATGCCAGCGTTCCTCCTCACCCCAGCACCGCTGCCCAGAACTGTGACCCAGATCCAAACAGGGGCAAAGCCAGAGATTCCTGCCTCAGCACTGGCAGAGAGATCCCTGCGATCCCTCTCTGATCAGCCACTGGATTCCCCCTCAGTCTGTGGGCTGGAAGCTCGGGAAGCAGCTGTCCCCCCCAGGGTCACGCTGTTGGGGAATGGAGCTGAAACCCCACCTTCCTGTCTCAGCACCGACAGAAACAGACTTTTCCCACTGACCTTCTAAGTTGTCTTTGGCATTCATGGATTGAGGAGTCTGGAAACCTCCACAGCTGCCTGCGATTCAGTCCTCTGAGGTCTGCTCCAGGCTTGCTGGGGCCTGTGTGCCCACGCCGCGCTGCGTTCCCAGCCTGGCGCGATATACCTTTCTGATCGATCATCCGGGTTGTCTTGGGCTGGAAATTTGTTTCACTCTCTTTTTGTGGGTCCTGCTGCTTCAGAATTTGTTTAGAGCCATTTTTTATGAGTATTTGGAGGGGTTTGGGGGAGAGCTCAAGCAAGTCACTGCTTTCACTCCGCCATCTTGGCCCCGCCCCCCTCCTTCCCTCATTCTTTGGCCCAGCCCAACTAGCCTTGTTGCTCCTCACCCTGACATTCCATCTCTGAACCTTTGGCTAGGCTGTGTCCCATACCCGGCATGCCCTCCTTCCTCACTTCTACCTTTTAGAATCCCCAGTTCTTTCAGAACTCAGCTCAGGTGCCCCCTCCTTGGGTCTTAGAAGCCCAGATTCAGAGCTGAGACATCATTGTGGTCCTAAACCTTCTGTTTGCAAATGAGGTGAAAACAAAGAGGTTAATGGTGATGCTGATGATAATCTAGCATTTATTTAGTAATTTGAGGTTTGCTAAAGTGTTTTACTAAGTCCTTTCCTGGTCACCACCCTCCTCCTCCCCCCAACCCTCCTGCCACAAAAATTGCCTTGTTTTTTTTTTAAAGTCCTTTGTGTCCAGTTGAAAATGTATGTTTTGTCTCCCTAAATAGAGCATAAACTCCATAAAGGCAGGAAAGGTTTAATTCTTTTGTTTTTGTTTTCTTTGAGTAAAAATATATCCTAAAACAGGTCTGCACACAACATTTGGTCCATGGGCCTGATGTGCAAGCCTGGTTTTATATTCTTTTTTTTTAATTTATTCATTTTTAGTTTTCAACATTCACTTCCATAAGATTTTGAGTTCCAAATTTTCACCCCATCTCACCCCTCCCTCCACCCCAAGATGGCATGCATTCTGAATATCCCTTCCCCTAGTCTGCCCAGGGAAAGATTTAATTTTTGTCTTTTGTCTCTCCGGGCTTGGCATATAGTAGGTGATTAATAAATGCTTGTTGACTGATTTCCCTTTCCCCAGTCCATTTTTCCCCTGCACAGGAGAGGAAATAACGGCCTACCACAGTTTTTAAAAGCACAGACAGGAACCGAAAGGAACTTCCGGATCTAGTGTTTTATCTGACCCACCTCCACCCTCATAAGAGTCTGAGGCTGGATTTGAACTCAGGTCTTCCTGGCTCCACTCCTCTGTGTGTGTCTTGACCCAGATGGTCCCACTGCCTGAGCCTTAAGCCCAGAGAGAGCCTGGGTGGGGCTGAACTTAAAAAACCAGAGTCTGAGTACCTGTCACAGCTCTCACCTCCTCCCTACATGACCTGGATGGAGCAAGTCACCAGGTGACCAGGCTTCCGTTTCCTCATCTGTAAAATGAGGTCCTTTACCAGCTCAAAATCTCTGGTTGTGAACCTGAGTTGCATAAACTCTAGGCCTCAGTTTCCTTATTAGTCAAAATAGAGGAATAGACTAAGATGACCTTTCTAAGGTCCCTTTCCAGCTCTAACTCTGGTTATAACTCTAAGTCCTATAGCCTCTGGGCCTCAGTTTCCTTATCAGTAAATTTAGAGGATTGGACTTAAGATGGCATTTCTAAGGTCCTGTGAATCTGGTTGTGACTCAAAGTCACATAACCTTTGGCCCATCATTAACATCTGAGCCTCACTTTCCTCATCTGTAAAATTAGGCTGCTGCTTCCAGCTCTAGATCTTTGCATCCTGTATTTCCCTCCCCTCAATAAACCCTTTCATTTTGTAGGTGAAAAAGATGTGGCACAGAGAAATTAAGTTCCAAAGTCACGTAGGTAGGAAGAACCCAGATTTTAAAATCCTAGAGGTTAATGTAGAACTTTGCAGAAGTTCTTTACGTGTTTAATTTATTTGATCCTCACAATGACCCTGTACTGTAAGTGCTCTTATTAACCCCATTTTACAGGTGAGAAAATTGAGGCAAATAGAGGTTAAGTGACCTGTCTCCAAAGTCACACAGCTGAATCACAAAGAGTCTGAGCCCAGCTCCTCTGACTCTATGTATATTCCTTACTCTTTCCAATTCCTTTCTGATACTGGGATGTCCCCCCTTACCTCAAGTCAAGCATCGTGAGGGCCCAGAGGTGTTTATAGTTCTTTAATGAGGACATGCTATGAGTCCAGCTCTGAGGGGGGAAGGAAGGAGCCTGCCAGAAGCTATGGTCTGTGGCTCGATGGGACTGCTGGCCAGTTTGAGGCTACCTGTGTCCACATAAGCAGGGGTCACAGCTGAATCATCTCCCCGCCACGGGTCGAAAGGCAGGGAAGCTGGGGCAGTCCAGAGCCTTGGGCAAGCAGAGGTGGGGGCTCATCAGTGCTACACTCTGTGTTGGTGGTAGTCAAGGCTCCTGAGGGGCCCTGAGCAGGGGCTGAATAAATAGGTGAATGGTTGAGGCCGGAAGCCCCTCTCTTAGTTAGGAAAAACGAATTCCAAGTCCTCCAGTCTCCTCAACTCTTTGACCCCAACGTGCACCGTTTTCCTCTGGGGTTCTCGACGAAGCACGGTGATTTGGACCGGGCTCTCCTTGGGGAAGCCATTCACATTAATGGCCAGTGTGGAAAACTGAGTCAGAGAGAAAAAGAAAGTGGCGCTCATTCCGCTCCCTTTCTAAATTTCCGCTTTGATTTCCCACCCTAATTTTATTTCTCACTCAAACTCTATTGCTGCGCCTCTCTGTCCCCAATACACTCCCCTCAGGTTTCCAACTTCTTCCGTGGTTCCTAGTTCTTACTCCCCCCCACATTTTCCTCCCTCCACATTTCCTCCCTCCATGCCACAACAATCTGGTTATTCGATAAAACACTTGTTGAATGCGTACTATGTGCCAGACGCAGACCAAACCCCCCCAACAGTTCCTGTCCTCAAGAAGCTTACGCTCTACATGTGTTCTCTTTAGGGGAAGGGGCAGCTTATCCCCAGGCTTCGCGGTGCCTGGCACATAATTCTTATTGTTCAGTCTTTTCAGTTGTGCCCTGCTCTTCATGACCCCATTTGGGGTTTTCTTGGCAGAGATACTGGAGTGGTTTGCTATTTCTTTCTCCAGCTCATTTTACAGATGAGGAAACTGAGGTACAGAGGGTTAAGTGACTCGGCCAGGGTCACACAGCTAGTGTTTGAGATTGGATTAGGACTCAGGAAGGATGAGTCTTGCCGACTCCAGGCCAGGTGCTCCATCCGCTGCCTGCCACCTAACCTGGCAGATGGTAAACATTCAATAAGTGCTTGTTGTCTGGTCGATTGAACAGCCGTTTATTCACTTTCCCAGTATCTGCACAAACACACAAATAACCTAGAGCACTGGATCGCAATTATCTATGCTTGCGAAGGTGGGGGAGGAGGAGAGGGGTTAGGCAATGGGTATAGAGGATCCCCAAAGCCCTGGGTTTGAAAGCTTAATTGTGGGTCCACATCTCTGGTAGGATGACAGATTTTTAAAAACTAAAAGGAACCTAAGAAATTCATTTAGCACCAATCCCCTCATTTTGTGGAGGAGGAAGCTGAGGCCTAGAGAGCTTCAAGTGAGCCTGCCTGAAGTTACAGAGATAGTAGGGAGCAGAGCCCAAAGCTAAACCTAGGTCTTGAGATGCCAAAGCCCATATTCTTTACCAGGCTTACAGTAACAGTAAAAATAAAAAATGGGAAGATTTTGCATGGAATTGGGGGCAGTTAAGGTGGCACAGGTGATGCTGGGATTGGAGTTCAAATCTGACCTCAGTTACTAGCTGTGTGATTCTGAGAAAGTAACTTGACCTCTGCCTGCCTCAGTTTCCCTATCAGTAAAATGGGAAAATAATACATTACCTTCCTTCCCAAGGTAATTGTGAAGATGAAATGAGATGATGTTTGTTAAGTGCTTTGCTAACTTTAAAGGGCTATGTGTAAATCTATCATTCCAGCTTGTAAATGGCCATGAAGTAAGGTTCTGTCTTTCTGTCTGTGTGTCTGTGTGTCTGTCTGTCTCTCCCTTTCTGCAGTTGGTGCTGACTGCGCCTCCCAGCTCCCTTCCACTCTCCCCCTCCTCTCCAGGGACGACGGGCCTGGGGGCTCACTTTGTAGGGTTTGCACCATTCCCCTGGGCCTGCTGGGTTAGCCGCTCGGACACTGATGTAGTACTTGGTGTTCGGTTTCAGTTCCATGAGCTTGACAGTTGTGCCTATGATCTGGTTGAAGATCCAAGGGTGGTATTTTTCCCTGGGCATCTCATTCTTCACCTTGTGTTTCTTTAGCTCCATCTCCTGCAGGAGAACCTGGTAGAAGCTCACCCGCTGCTTGCCTTGGCTCCTGTTCCAGGTGATCTGGGGGAAGAGAGAACCCAGGGGGGCTTCCTTGTATCCAGCCCATTCACAGTGCCTGGCACATGAGCCTAAGTGCTTAAGAAATGCCTGCTGACATGGCTCCACAGGGGACAAATACATGTGGAATCACAGGATTCTAGAGCTAGAAAGAAACTCGAAGGCCATCTTTAGTCTAACTCCCTCAAGTTACAGATGAGGAGACTAGGGGAGTGAAATGACCTTTAAGATCCTAACTCTAGGAGCTAGAAGAGACCACAGAGGCTATCTATCCCAGGTTCCTCATTTTAAAGACAAGGAGAAGGCAGACGATAGATCACTGGCCCTAGAGTCAGGAGGATCTGAGTTCAAATCAGACCTCAGACATTTACTAGCTGTGTGACCCTGGGCACGTCACTTAAGCCGGAGTGCCTCCCCCAAAAAATTTGAAACAAGTAAATAAAATAAAGGTGAGGAAACCCAGAGAAGTTTAAGTGACTTGCCTATGGTCACAGAGTAAATATCAAGAGGCAAGATTTGAACTCAGATCCTCTGACTCCAGAGCCAGGAATCTTTCCAGGTTGCATCTATGACTCTTAGTATGTAATGAGTCACAAGGCTTATTGGATCCTTGAACTTGACTTCAAAGGATCATAGATCTAGAATTGAAAGCAAACTCTGAGGTAAATTAATTCAACCTATTATTAATTTTACTGATGGGTGAAACTGAGGCCTGGAAAGGTTTAGTAACTTTACTCAAGGTCATACAGGTAGGAAGTAGCAGAGCAGGGATTTAAAGCCCAGGTCCTCAGATCTCAAATCTGACTCTCTTTCCCACTGTAGCAGCTACTCTTTGGGTCCTATGGCTGAGGCACAAGTCTGAGGATGTTATTAAGAGGAAAACAGGACCATTATGATGCTGCCCAAAACATAATTGTTTTATTTGTAATAGCAAAAAATTGGAGGGGAAGAAAGCAACTGAGAATATGAATAACAATTGGAGAAGAGTTCTATAAACTGAAGTATACGTTAATATAATGGAATCCCATTGAGCTAGATAAAAATGACATGTGAAGAATATAAAGAAATACGGGAAAGATTATCCAAGAGAAGGTAAGGAAACTTTACAAGCAAGAACTCAAAGAACTGTTTGGGAGGAGGGAACCGATAACTACTCAATTGTTGTTATCATTTTGTTCAAATTTATGTTAGTATTTTTCCAAGTAAAATACACGTTCAGATTTGGGGGGTTTTATTTGAGGACCAACTTCACATTTTGCTTGTTTTCTTTTGAGTGCTACTAAGTTTTCAATAATAATTATTTGTTCATAATAATTTTTAGAAGATTAACCTCCACTCAGTCCGAGTGGCACCCTGACTCCCTCCACGTCTCTTCCATCTTGGTGTGTGAGAGCGCTGGTACTGCATGTTCATTCCTCTACCCATTCATTCATATTTATGCATTTGCTGCCTGGTCAATGTGAAATCAAAATTTCCCCCCATTTCTTTAGATTGAGAACCAGAAGGCCTCCCAGGCCTCCCATCTCATCCACTCATCATTTATTCATTTCCTCACTCATTCATTCATTCACTCATTCATTCACTCACTCATTTCTTTCATCCATTCACACCCATTTAATTCATTCATTCACTCATTCTTTCACTTATTCATTCACTCATTCACTTTTTTCATTCAATCATTCACTCCCTTATTTCATTCATTCATTCACTCACTTATTCTTACTTATTCTTTCACTTAATATTCGCTCACTCATTTCATTCACTCACTCATTATATTCACTCACTCACTCACCCTTCTTTCATGCATGTTTGAGTTTTTTCCCTCCCCGCCCCCATCAGACAACATCACTCACCACAGCTGTGGAGTCGCTGACGGTATGCTCACAGATGAAGGGGGCTTCAGGGACGTCCATAACCACAGAAGACTCTGGGGGAGCAGAGATGGTGGTGTCTGCATCCGTCTCAGGGTTGTCCAGATCCAGGGGGGACGAAGTTCGTCACTAGGGGCTTGGAATGGCTGGAACAGATGGACTGGCCCTGCATCTCATTGTTCTTGGCCAAGGAGGCCAAGCTGAGCTTTGTCAGCTGTCTTTCCAACAATTCTAAGATGTGGCTGCTGGGCTGGTTCAGGGAAAATTTGAATGGGTTCAGCGGGCCGGTGGAAAAGGGGGAGGTGCTGGTGTCTTCAGAGCTAGACTCTTCAAACTGGAAAGGCTTACTAGGGAGAACAAGAAGAGCAAAGCATGCTGGAAAAGGTGACAGCTGGACCACCTTGGTCCATCCCACAGTTGGCCCATAGAGATCACTCCAGGGACGCATTATTTGCTTAAATCACTGTGTGCCCGCAGCTCAAATCAACTCAGATGAGATGTTTATAAAGTGCTTAACAGCACATAGTAGATGCTACATAAATGCTTCCAGGGGTGGGGAACCTGTAGTCTCGAGGCCACATGTGGCCCTCTAGGTCCTCAAGGATGGCCTTTTGACTAAGGACCTAGAGGGCCACATGTGGCCTTGAGGCTACAGAATCCCCACCCTTGCATTCCTTTCCTCCTTCTCCCCTTCCCTTCCCTGCCTCATGATACTAAATTTAATTCAATTCAGCAAGCATTTACCAACTGCCTACTGAGTGCCAGGCACTAACTTAGGCACTGTAAATACGGAGACAGAACCAGCATATATAGTCCATTGTCCTTAAGTAAGTTTACATTTCAAGACCTATCTGGAAAGATACGTTGGAGCCAGATTGTAAAGGGGCTTTAAATGCCAAACTACTTTATCTTAGAGGCGATACAGAACTACGGAAGCTTCCTGAAAAGGAGGGACCGAGGTCAGAGCCATGCTTTACTATGCTTTAGTATTATTAAGGATCTAGAATGGTGAGGTGCACCACTAAGCAAGACATCCAGTCAGTCCCATTGAACTGAAGTAGTTGAAGGAAACCACGGTCGGTTTCTCATTCTGTATTCTGTGATGATAGAACCCATTTTTCTCCTCCCCTCCTAGCTATGGGTTTTTCAGAATTTGGGGGTAGTTATAGGGGGATATGGGGGAATCTGTTAGGAGAAGAAGATAAAACTACATTGGTGGTAGAGAGTAAAGGGAAAAATATGTCAATACAATCTCATCTGAATACAAAGATTCCCTCCTCATTGGCCCAAGAATGCCGGGAACTGGTTGATCGTGGGTCAAAGAAATTGATCCTTTCTCTAAAGGCTGCCCTGTCTGTTCCTAAGCCTTATTCTTCTATAAAGAATGAAAGGAGGGATGGTGCTGGTCCTTACATCTCTTCTGAATCTCCTTCCTCAACAAGGGTGGGCTTAGTGCGTCTTGGGGAGGCAGTGAACCCCTGGACAGAGAACCTCCGATCCACATGAATTGGGAATGACTTCTTAAATTGGCTGAACGGATCCTTCTTGTTGGAAATATTTTGGTCCAAATCCTCCTCATCCTCCTCTTCCACTCTCCAGAGGACCCCGGATGCCATCTGCCTTCGACAAAGTCAGACCAAGAGGCTCAGTAACCAAGCAGGCTGGAAGCAGATACAAACTGTCAATGGAGCCTCTGCAGCCCTTAATTTTGGGGGGCGACTAGGGGTGATGTCACCATGATACCAAACTGTCACAATTAGGTTTCCCCTGCCCCCGATTGGTGGCTACTGCCATGATGTCACTGTGGTACAGGATAGCCAGGACCAGAGATAGATGGAAGGGAGAGAAATCAGAGGACCTGGGGATGAGAGAGAGGATAAATGTGGGTGGGTGGGGGTGTGATGGGTGGGTTAGTTGAATGTTTCAAATAGGGAAACTCCAGACTTTCTCTGAAATCTATGGATTTTCTTCATGCACATGCACTTTTGGGGGAACAGGGAGACATGTTGATTTGTGTTGATGATGTAGGGGAAGAAATTCTGATGTAAGAATCAGAAGACTTGACTTTCAGTTTTTATTGTCACTAGCTGTGGGACCATTAGGCAAGTTTCACTTCCCTTTGGGCCTCAGTGTCATCATTATCATCATCACCAATAGCTAGCATCTACGTAGGGCTTACCATCTGCCAGGCACCTGTGCTAAGCACTTCCCAATTATCATTTCATTCAATCTTTACAACAACCCTAGGAGGGAGGTGCTCTTCTTATCTCCATTTTACAGATGAGGAAATTGAGCCAAACCCAGTTAAGTGACTTGCCCAGAGTCACAGAGCTAGGAAGTATCCCAGACTGAATTTGAACTCAGGTCTTTCTGACTCCAGGCTTAGCGCCTTACCCACTGCTCCACCTAGCTGCCCCTTTTCATGTCTGCAATGAGACAACTGGTCTATAGATTAGGGCTCCTTTATCAGTGAACCTATGAACTTGTTTTTAAAAATAAATTTTGGTAACTATTTCAGTAGAATTGGTTTACCTTGTAATCTGATGTATTTTAGTTTATGCATTTAAAACATGATTCTGAGAAGGAGTCAGTAGGCTTCACTGGGCTGTGCCCAAGAAGTCCAGGACACAACAAAAGGTAAGCATCTCTGCACTAGAGAATCTCTAAGGTACATTGAGCTAAACAGTCAAATGTTCATGACCACCACCTGCTTCTGCGCAGAAGCTACTCTTCCTTTTTTCTGAAGATCTCAAAGCAGTTTATAGAACTAACCTGGTGGAGAGGGGATAGTTGTCCTGATTTGACAGAGAAGGATGATGAAGCCTTGGTAAGCCCTTCTCTCTCAGAATAGGGGAACAGAACCCAGCAGTCTCTCACATCTTGGAACTCTGGGGTGGGAGGAATCCATAGCAAACCTTTATTTCTTATAATGATAAGAGAGAGAAGCTGGGTGGCAGAAAAAAAATCCTGAGATAATCCACAAGGGCTCCGAAGTCTAGTAACTATTCTTCATTCATTCATTCATTCATTCATTCATTCATTCTGTCAGAGGTATATGTGGAGGCAGACAACTTGGCTGGGTTCCAGTGCTTGCCGACAGGACACTGCTAATCATCTGTGTGACCTTGGGCGCTTAAATCGCCCCCATTCTCTGGGCTTAAGTTCCCACCTCTATAAAATGAGGGGACCAGAGTACATCAGTAGTTCTCAAAGGTTGGGTGCCAAATTTCCCTAGGTGTGCTGTAGGACATCCTCTCCCCAATTCCTTACAACAGAGTGATAAAAACAGAAAATTTGTGAGCAAAAAATGTTTGAGGACCACTGGACTCAAGAGATGGTGTCTAAGTTGTTGGACTTAGATCTGGACCAGGGGTGGGGAACTCATGGCCTTCTAGGTCCATGGGTGCAGCCTTTTGACTGAGTCCAAGTTTCACAGAACACATCCTTTTATTTATTTATTTTTGGCTAGGCAATGGAGTTAAGTGACTTGCCCAGGGTCACAAAGCTAGTAAGTGTTGTGTGTCTGAGGCTGGATTTAAACTCAGGTCCTCCTGACTCCAGAGCTAGTGCTCTATCCATCGTGCCACCTAGCTGCCCTGTTTATTCATTTATTTATTTATTCATTGATTCATTTATTTATTTACAAATCTTTTTATTAAGGGTATTTGTTCTGTGAAGTTTGGATTCAGCCAAAGGGCCATACTTGAGGACCTAGAGGGCCACATGTGGTCTCAAGGTCACAGGTTCCCTAGCCCTGTAATCTGGACCCTTACTGGGGTAGAAAATTCCTGAAGAGGGAACATCTATGCATCTGCTCAGCAATTCAGAGTCTTCAGGGACTCCTCAGGCGCTGAGAGGTTATAATGACTTGCCCAGCTGGGGTCACAGGACCTAATATGTGTATGAACCCCAGTCTTCCTGACTTTTGTTGAATCTCTTTTCTCCTTGCCTCAACTTTTCTAGGGGATGTGACAAAAATTAATAAAAGAGCATGTGTTGGAGGGGTGGGGAGGGATTAGGGGGTCTGCATATGGAAAGAGCAGAGGAAGGAAGGGCAGATACTAAAAGGCCCCTAGATAATCCTTAAAGGGATGTACAGGCAAAAGATGCAACAGGGAAATGAAGATTGGCAGGAAGAAAGTGAGAGGGGAGGAAGGAAGGAAGGAAGGAAGGAAGGAAGGAAGGAAGGAAGGAAGGAAGGAAGGAAGGAGAAGGAAGGAAGGAAGGAAGGAAGGAAGGAAGGAAGGAAGGAAGGAAGGAAGGAAGGAAGGGAGGAAGAGAGGGAGGGAGGAAGGAAGGGAGGGAGGAAAGAAAAAGAAAGGAGAGGGGAGAAAGAAGAGAGTAACAGAAGTTAAGAGAAGAAGAAAGAAGGGAAGAACAGGAAGGAAAGGGGGAAAGAAGAAAAAAGGAATAGAAGGGAAAAAACAAGAAAGGGAGAAAACGGAAGTTAAGGGCGAGAAGAGGGAGGGAATAAGGAGAGAAGAAATGAGAGAAAGATGGGAAGGGTAGGAGGGAGAGAGGGAGTTAGGAATAGAATGGGACAAAGTGGGAATGAAGCTGTGTGAAGAGAGGGTTCTTTAGCCTCCGGTTTAGTAGAAAAAGCCCTAAACAGAGAGTCAGAGGAGCTGGGTTCAAATTCGACTTCCCCCCTACCAGTTTGACCTCGGAGAAACAAGTCACTTAGCCTTTTGGGGCTTTCCCCCTCTTATCTGTAAAACAAGCAGCTTGGACTAGATGCCCTCCGTGGTGGGTGGTGCTTTTCAGCCCTTTTCCCAGATCCCTGTCAGACCACGTCCCAGGCGCCCCCCACCCCCCGCCCCGGCTCCCCTCCTTTGCAGCCGCTGCAAGTCCACGTGCCGCCAGCAGATGGGAGTGTGGGGCAAGGTCCAGGCTGGGCGCGAAGCGAGGAGCCAGCAGGAAGTGGAGGCGGCCAGAGCAGAGCTGGACGTGAGTTGCGGGAGGGGAAGCGCCGACCCCCAGCCCAGCTTGTCCCTGGTGGGGAGGGTCAAGGCGTGGGAACTGGGGAGAAAGTCAGCCTGCTCTGCACGCCGCCTGTTGTTGGGGGGCTGGGGCAGGTCTAGGGAGGCACAGCTCGGTGGGGGAGGGGGACTTCCCTCTTCTTATGCCCCTTGCAGCTTCCTGGACGTGTCGTAGTCACCGTGCTTTCCACCCCCGGGTAGGGAGGAGACTAAAGCGGGGCGGGGACAGACCCTGGGCAGCCTCAGCCCTGGAGTCCTCGGGGGGTCGGGCTGGGGCTCCGGCGGTGAGGACTGGCCTCTCTCTCTCCCAGACTCAGCCCTGCGGATCTAGCACGCCCCGTCTTGCGTCCGTCCCCCGAGGATGGGGGTGCTCAGGATGGGGCTTTGCCCGGGTCTCACCCAGGAGATGATCCAGCTGCTGAGGGGCATGGGCATCAAGACAGGTAAAGGGGCACGAGATTAGAAACATACGTGCAGGTAGAGGCAGCCGTGAGCGGTGGGAAGAAGCGGGCTCTACTTGGAGAACCCTCGAGGACCCGGGTTCAAATGCTGCCCCTGACGCTTACCAGCCAGCTAGGTGCTGTCATGGAGTGGACATGGCCTTAGAGTCAAGACCCTATTCAAATCCTACTCCCGGCACTTACTAGTTGTGTGACCCTGGGCCTTTATCAGCCTCAGTTTCCTCATCTGTAACATGGGGATAGTTACACCACCATCCCGGCAGAAATGTGCCCTTTGTAAACCTGACAGCGCCGTATAAATGGTAGCTATTATTTTTATTATTATTACTTAATCTCTCTGTCTCAGTTTCTTTATTTGTAAAATGGTAATAATAATAATAACACCTACCTTGCAGAATTGTTTTGAGGATCGAAAGAGATATTACACATAAAGCAAAAAGCTCTCTATAAATGCTATTATTAATTACTTAGCCTTTCTCAGCCTCAGTTTCTTCATCTGTAAAATTATACCTTGCAGGGTCATGGATCAAACGAGTTTGTAAAGTGCTTTGCAAACTTCAAAGTACTATGTCAATGTTCATTATCGTTCTGATACAATGGATCTGATTTTGTTGTTCGTTTGTTTCAGACTTTTCTGGCTCTTCATGACCCCATCTGGGTTTTTCTTTGGCAGAGATACTGGAGTGGTTTGCCATTTTCTTCTCCAGATCATTTGATAGATGAGGAAGCTGAGGCAAACAGGGTTCAGTGACTTGCCCAGGGTCACACAGCCAGGAAGTGTCTGAGGCAGTAAGTGTATGAATTTTGGTCTTCCTGACTCCAGGCCCAGCACTCTGTGCCCTGTGCCACACAGCTGCCCAAGTGGACCTGATGCACTGGAAAGAATGCTTGGCCCTGGGCAGCTTGAACCAGCTCATCAGAGCGGATTCAAGTCAAAGCATTCCAATTCCAGCTCTGCCACTTACTCCCTGGGTGATCTTGGATCAGTTACTGAACTTCTCTAGGCCTCATCTGTAACTAGATTGCCTTTTAAGTCTATAATCCTAAAAATCAAAACCTCGGTTTCCCCAGTTGTCAGTCATCTGGGCCTGGAGGCAAGAGGCCTCATATTCCTGAGTTCTAATCTGGTTTCAGACACTTCCTAGCTGTGTGACCCTGGGCAAGTCACTTCACCTGTTTGCCTAAGTTCCCTGATCAGTAAAATGAGCTGGAGAAGAAAATGGCAAACCACTCCAGTATCTCTGCCAAGAATTATCAGTTGAATGTGACTGAAAGTAGACTGGACGATAACAAGCATTTAGTAAGCACTTTCTGTGTGCCAAACACCGTGCTTAGACTGGGTATACAAAGAAAGGCAACAGAGCCCAAGTAAAATGGGTGATATTTGCATTACCTAATAGAGTCATGAGGAAGGTGGTTTTTTAAAAAAATTTTTATAAACCCGAAATAATACTAGCTCACATTTATACAACAATCTCCGGTTTCCCAAGTGCTAGGTATGTGTTATCGCATTTAATTCTGGCCAGCCCTGTGAAGTGAGTACTACTATTACACCCATCTTATGGACGAACTCAGAAAAATTAAACGACTCTTACTAGGGTGACATAGCTAGTAAGTAGCTAAGGTAAGATTCGAACCCAGATCTTCTTGAAGCCAAACCTAGTGTTCTAACCATGATATCACACTATCTAGGACTAACTAGGAACAGTTTTTATTACGTGTGCTGGCCTGTTCTATGTTGTTTGGAGGCAGAACTGGCAAGGCTTCGGAATCTACCTGCTGTCCCAAGTGAAAACCTGCAGATCAATAGACTTCCTCCACAGTCTCCCCCAATGGACTTCATTGACCCCTCGAATAGGTTTTAGTTGAATTCTAGGTTACATTTATTTTTATCCATTTCATGTCATTTTTAAACATATTTTTACTGATAATTTTTGTTTTTATGTCACATTCACCTGGAATGCTCTTCCTCCTCCTCATCTCTGCCTTGTGGCTTCCCTGGTTTCCTTCAATACTAGGTTAAAGTCCAATCTCCTACAGGAAGCTAGATGCCATTTCCTTCTCCAGCTCATTTTACAGATGAAGAAACTGAGGCAAACAGAGTTAAGTGACTTGCCCAAGGTCACACATCTAGTAAGTATCTGAGGCAAGATTTGAACTCAGGTGTTCCTGACTCCAGGAAGATATACCCAGCCCTAATAAGTTGTTGAATTGACTTGAATCAATCAGTGTGGGGAGGGACCACACTGTTGTGTGACCTCTCCTGATCTCAGGGGAGGATGCTGGGGTTGGGGAGGTGGGTGGGGAGGGGGAGTTTCATTTTCTCCATTCTGTATCTCCTTTCAGTGGTGGACCTTGTGTCTTCAGACCTGGAAGAAGTGTCTCGGAAATGTTGCTTGTCTTATAAGGTGAGGGCAAGAATACCTCTTTCTCTGGAGCTGAGTTCCTGCTCTTAAGAGTGTCCAGACCCCTGCCTGCATGAGGGGAGACCATGGAATAAGAAGCCTGGGCAGAAGGAATAGGGAAGACCCTGATCCCCTTTATCTTTGCATGTTTGCAGAGCTCTTACAAGCGTATTCCTCTTTCAGAATTGAGAAAGTATGCCTCCTTCCCTTCTTTTCAAAGGTGGGGGGCTATGGGTGCAGAATGTGACCATATATTGCCAGATAGGGTTGATGTGTGTGATGGTTCTGTTGAACTGGTTTTTTTTCTTTTTTGCTTTGTTATCCAGGCTAGCTTTCTGGGTAAAGGCAATTGGAGGGAGGGTGAATCTGTTTTTTGGATATGAATGTGATATAAAAATGAAAGCATTAAAAATAAGATAAAAATTTTAAAAGTAAAATGTCTTCTGTTCCTGCCCTCTCCGCATGCTGTGCTGTGTTGGAGGCAGGCCTTAGTTTCTGTGAGGAGGGTCCTGCTGGTTCAGTTCTCCTCTTTCCCCTTCAATGGTGCTGATCTCTATGAAGAGCTCAAGACCTCCACTGCTATCTTGGCCACAGGCATTGCAAGGTGGGTTCTGGGAAAGGGACCCACTCCCCAGGCTTCGCTTTTGAGACTTGAGTCTAGTCACCGCAGGCTTGTTTTCATAGAAGGCCTGCATGGTCTGGGAGTGGAGGAGGAGGTGGAGAGAGGGGCAGGGCTCCCGCTTCTTCCTGCAGCAAGGTATGACTTTAGGCAGGCCAGTCACTGTTCTGCTGTTTTCGTGTTTCTCCTACAAACCTTCTGGAGGGCAGGGCCTGGGTTTTATTTGTCTTTGTCACAGTGAATTGCAGTCTGGTGGCTCTGAATGAAAATAAATTGGGGAGAATAATCCCTGCCCCCAACTTCCCAATTCATAGGCATGTCTTAGGGAATGAATGAGGTTAAGTCCAGAGCGGAAATGACATTTTTATTTGTTCCTAGGTAGGTGGTGAAGTTGGAGTGGGGAACGGTTTGGAGAGGAGAGAGATTCGTGCCAAACCATGTGAAATTTAATATATATGTAAAAATAAGCCAAACATAATAGAGGTTCGTGGCGTCCTACGAAATCCTCTTTTTTTCCCATTGTTTTTATGAGGAAATGTTTTGGTGTGGTGGTGTTTTTTTTTTTTAAGATCGCCTCATCTATAAAATAGGCCTAAGAAATATTTCCTTCCTCATGAAGTAGATAAGGAAATGTTCATGTTTGTTGATATTTGTCAAGTTTATGACAGATTTTTTTTTTAAAAGAACAAAAAGGAAGTTGGTCTGAAGTGAAAGATGATTACTTCAGTTTTAGACATATTGAGTTTGAGATGACAACAGGACATCCTTCTCTGGGTGTTCTTTGAGCAGATGGATGAGGCTGGTAAATGTTTAACAACTGGTTCTCCAGGAAAAAAAAAGTACAAACAATGCTTTATAGCTTCACATGTATTATTATACAGCTAGGTGGTGCAGTGGATAGAGCACCAGGCCTGGAGTCAGGAAGACCTGAGTTCAAATATGACCTCAGACGTTGACTAGCATTGTGACCCTGGGCAAGTCACTTAGCCCTGTATGCCTCAGTTTCCTCATCTGGAAAATGAGCTGGAGAAGGAAATGGCAAACCCACTCCAGCATGTTTGCTAAGAAAGCCCCAAATGGGGGCTCCACACCACCAAAATGACTGGACAACACATTAACAGTTTCTCCCTCACTTTCTTAAGTCTAGAGAGCTAACCAAACAATAGCCCTTATTCGCAGCATTTGCTGATTTCAGGGGTATAAATGCTCACACTGAAAATTTAACCATTGACTCCTGGTACTAGAGCCTACGGGAGAGACACCTCTTTACTTCCACACTGACTTGGAGAGCAGATGAGTATTTGTTGATACTCAGATGAGAGCAGCGAAGCCAGGTCAGACGTCTTGGGAGATAGTCACAACAGCAGGCAAAGAAGATGGTGTTATGATGAGAGGACCAGGATATCAGGGTCACAGAAGCTACAGAACGGGAGAATTTCAAGGAATAGTGTTAGACAGTCTCCAGGCTTTCAGAGAGACTTCTTAGGACAAAGACTGAGAAAAGACCATTGGATCTGATGATGAGAAAGTCACTAGTAGCTTTCATGGTATTCTGAATGGGATGCTGGGCTTGGAGTCAAGAAAACCTGGGTTCACATCCTGCCTTGTTACTCTGTGTAATGTTTCCCTATCTGTAAAATACAAAAGTCTGACGTGGCCTCTAACTTGGCTTCTGGTATTAAACTGTGGTCTTGAGAGGGGGGAGGGGGATTATTTCTTTCATCTTTTCCATCCCACTTGCTTGAGAGATGATTCTCTCCTTTTCTCTCCTGCTGATAGCCTGGATAAGCTGCTGGACTCTGGCCTCTACACTGGAGAAGTCACAGAAATCACCGGCCCCCCAGCCAGTGGCAAAACCCAGGTGTGATATCAGAGCTTTAACTAGCATGGGGCCAGCAGGGTTCTATACCAGGCACCAGCATTACAGAGATATTCACACTTCTTTCTGGGGGTGAGGATGAGGGGGACATGCTGGTTTTTTTCCTTCCCTTGGAAGGCACATTTCCATCCTTCTGGTTCTAGAATTCCATGCCATACTTTGCCGTCAAAAGTATGGGTCGCAACTACCCTTGTAGGACTTTGGCCACCCCCTTCCCATTGTGCCATCAGATTGTCCTCTGAGCCACCTTTCCTCACCCCAGCAGCCTAATGTGTCCCAGGCCCAGTTTCTGCTAGTTAGAGCTCCGTTAGCCTGGAGGCAGGAAACAGCTGTGTTGACAGGTAGACCTACTACCTAATACAATGTAAGTCTCAAGAGTCTCAAGCAGCTCTGTGCCCAGTCTGTCTGGCTACACGGGAAGGATCAGGGGAGTCTGGGGAGAGTTTGGCAGAGACTCTGGAGGCCTGAGCTCACCCCAGCTCTTTCTTTCCTCCACCCAGGTGTGCCTCTGCACAGCTGCCAATGTGGCCTACAGCCTAGGTCAGAACGTCCTGTACATCGACTCCACCGGGGGCCTGATGGCCTCACGCCTCCTCCAGCTGCTGCAGGCCAGGACTGAGGATGAAGAGGAGCAGGTCAGGATGAGAAGGACGTCCCTGCAGTATGAATCAGTCCTGGAAGTGGAAGCTTCTCCCAAAAGAACCATTATCTCACTCCTATATTTTCAGGCCTGTGGTCTATCTCCAGGCCACCTTGGCACTGACCCCTCCATTGTTCTGAGCCTCTCCGTGCATTCGTACCCCAAAACTCAGACACTTCTCCCTGTCATTTCTTCTGGAAGGTCTTTAGAATTCTCCCTGGAGACCCTAAACCTTGCTTTCAGGGCCTGGTGGTACTCAGTCTCCCCCTTCTCATTAGTGTAAGTTCCCTCTGCCTTAGAGGCAGCTGTGTGCCGCAGTGGATTGAGTGGTGGGCTTTGAATCTAGAAAACCTGGCTTCAAGTCCTGCCTCAGTGACTTATGAACTGTGTGACCCTGGACAAGTCATTCAACTGCTACTTGCCTCAGTTTCCTTGTCTGTAAAATGAGGATAATAATAACACCTCTCAGGGTTGTTATGAGCATTAAATGTGATAGTAATTGTAAAGCACTTAGCACAGTGCGTGGTGTAAAGTAAGCAAAACAAAAATGTGTGTGTATACATACATATATATCTATATATGTATGTGTATATATACATATGTGTGCATATATGTGTATGTGCACATACACACACACACACACACACACATATACACTATTATTATTATAGAATTTGCCAGCTGTGTGACCCTGGGCAAATTGCTTAACCACTGTCTGCCTCAGTTTCCTCATCTGTAAAATGAGGATAATAATAACACCTCCCAGGGTTGTTATGAGCATCAAATGAGATAGTAATTGTAAAGCACTTAGCACAGTGCCTGGCATAAAGTAAGCAAAAAAATATATGTGTGTATACACACATATCCATATATGTGTGTGTATATATATATATATAGTATTATTATTATTGTTATTATTATAGAATTTGCCAGCTGTGTGACCTTGGGCAAATTGCTTAACCACTGTCTGCCTCAGTTTCCTCGTCTGTAAAAAGGGGATAATAGAAGCTGCCTCTTATAGAGCTGTTATGAGGATCAAATAAGATAACATGTGAAGTGCTTAGCCAACTGTAAATCATTAAGTATAAGCTGGTCATTGTTATGCTGTATTCCTGAAGCAGGGACTTTGGGACACTGATGCCTGTGTTTCTCCTTCATACCAGGCAGGGGCTCTGCAGAGGATCCACGTGGTACGTGTGTTTGACATCTTCCAAATGCTGGACGCGCTACAGGACCTCCGGGGTACCATCTCCCAGCAGGTGAGCCCCCGTCGGTGATCCCCTAAGAAGCCTGAGCAGAGTGGCTTATTGTTTTGCGTAGGTGATTGTCCTGTGACAGGTCATCCGTCCATGAAATGGACCAACTGTGCTTCCAAGATGGGCATTGTAAAATCCTGGAGTTTTAAAGCCAGAAGCTTTCCTAGAGGGTGTGCTAGTCCTGTGGAGGTCCAGAAGGAGGATGGAATTTGCCTAGGCTCACACAGTTAGTCAGAAACAGAGCTCAGACTAATGCCCAGCCCTCTGAACTCAGAATCATGGAATCTCAGTTATAAGGGATCACAGGGGCCAGCTTGTCCAGCTCGTACCTGAAGAAGAGTCCTCTCTATAGTATACCTGAGTATGTTGTCATCATCTAGGCTTTGTTGGAAGACCTTCAGAGAGAAGAAAGAATCTGCCTCCGGCTTCCCTTTGTCCATTGTCCTCCTCAGTCAGAATATCAGCTTCTTGAGGGCAGAGACTGTCTTGCTTGCTTATATTTATATTCTTAGCAGGTAGTTGTACCTGGTCTCAGGCAGACCGGGTGGTGCAGCAGACTCAAGTCTTCCTAACTCAATCCCAGTGTTCAATCCATTGTACCACCTTGCAGTAATATGCAAAGCATATGAAGATACAGATACAAAGATACAAAAGGTCCTTACCCTCAGGAAATTTACATTCTAATACAGGGATACTACATAGCTAGAGGAGTGGTGACCTTGGAAGGGGGTTTTGGTCTAAAGGACCATGAAAGTGTTGGGTTAATGTATAGGCCAGTCAAATGACATCCCCTTACCCCAAACCAATGATACTCTTGATTGGAGCAAGAGACAGAGAATTATGGAAGAGAGGGGTGTGCCTTATGGCAATGAGTGTGCAGCTGGATATCTTGGGTGGACAGCTGGATAGGATGTGAAGGTCATTCTGGGTCTGGTTCATGGAGTCAGTTTATACTGACTGGCAGCTAGTTTATACTCACTCAGTCACTTGTCAGCTGAATGGATCACTTTCCCAAGGCCTAGGAGCACCGATTTGGAAGGCATGTGGTGTGGAGAGTGCTAGTGAAGGTGGGAGGTAGGGAAAATCTGACAGGAGTAGCCAAGAGATGGCAAGAATGAAGATGAGTTGTTTCATGAAAGTCAGCAACTAAGAAAGCCTGGTTTCCTAATATGTCTGGAGCTGTAGGGTATGAGGTAAGGTCATGTTTCCCCTTCATTTTCCTCTTGTTAAGCAGCAAGTTTATCCTGTAAAACTCATCCCCCACCCTGGAGGCTACTAAGGAAAGAAGGAGGACCATAGCACCATTTGTACTGTCTTTCTCCTCTCCAGGTCACCAGTGCTTCGGGGCCGGTAAAGATAGTGGTGGTGGATTCAGTCTCCGCAGTGGTCTCCCCTCTTTTGGGGGGCCAGCATAGTGAGGGTGAGTAGTGGCTGGAAGACAATGGCATCCTACCCAGATTGTTGGGAAAAGCTTGGGGGATCTTTATCCTTGAACCTCCTTTCTAGCCCTTAACACCCCATTCTATCCCCCACCCTCCAAACCATCTTTTCCTTTCCAAGGTTTGGCCTTAATGATGCAGCTCGCCCGAGAGCTCAAGACCCTGGCCCGGGAACTGGGAATTGCAGTCTTGGTGAGTTGAAGCAGTAGTCAGGGTCTGGTGGGTCCTAATTCCCTCTGGCTTTTTTTGCCTTTGCACAGGGATAGGATTTAGTTTTCTGGCTGAAATATAGGTTCCTGTTTATGTAGCATTTCGAGGTAGGTCAGTCAGTCAATAAACATTTATTACTACAACGTGCCAGGCCCAGTTCTAAGTGCTAGGGATAGGAAGGCCCAAAATTTGTGCTTTGGGTTCCCCAGATGAGATTGGCTTCCCAAAGGCAGTAGGGCAGTTTGAAATGTCAGTCAGAAAATGTCTTTCCATGCCTTCGTCTGAACTCTATGTAACATAACCTCCCAAAGACTCAGAGGGGACACACGCAGCTGGGCGGTGTGCTAGATGCTGGCCCTGTGGGTTAGTTTCCTAGCCATATAAGAACAGGTTCAAACAATAGTAATAAAAGATAAATAATAAACTGTTTCCCCCACAAGTACCACCTGTGCCGAACCATATGGTCACCAGTCAAGAAGGCCAAGCCACTGGGCAAGATAGGCGGGGTTAGAATGATAAGAGCTTAGGGTTGGGAGCCACTAGGTGCCTCAGGGGCATAGATAGAATTCTAGGCCTGGAGTGGGAAGACCCGAGGTCAAGTCTAACCTCAGATGCTTACAAGCTGTGTGACCCTGGACAAGTCACTTACCCTCGGCCTTAGTTTCTTCCTCTGTTAAATGGGGATGATAATAGTAATAATGATGATAAATGGGGGGGTTGTTGTGAGGATCGAGTGACATTATGTAAAGTGCTTGGCCAACCTTAGACTGCCATATAAATGCCAGAGGTAGTGTTGGTTGGGGAGGGGAGTGGTGATTGTGATGATGCAGAGAAGTAAACAGATCAGAACTGCTCTTTAAGAATATCACTGTGGCAGCCACATGGAGGAGGAATCGGAAGGAGGAGAGGCTTGAGGCAGGGAGACCAGTGATGAAGCTGTTGTAATAGACGAGGCCAGAGGGGATGGAGGGCCTGCACTTGGGTGACTACTGGGTGAGTGAGGACAAGAGAAAGGCACACATGGTAGGGAGGTGGGCAGAGGTAGAATTGACCAGATGTAGTCATTGATTGACTGGAAGATGTTGTGAGGATAAGATGAGGAAATTTGTATAAAGTGCTAGGGAAGTGTCAGACCAGTGTATGATGGCCATTATTAGAAATTGCTGTTATTACTTAGGCCACCTGAAAGCATTGGTCCCCCGAGCCAATTAGGGTTCAGTGTCTTTTAAGGACAACTAGCCCAGCCTGCATTGTTCCTGGTACATGTCGGGGTGACCTATAGTGAGAGATTGGATGGATAAGGACCAGTCTTCTCTGTTGAAGGTGACTAACCATGTGACCAGGGAGCGAGACAGTGGGAAGCTCAGACCAGCCCTGGGCCGATCCTGGAGTTTTGTCCCCAGCACCCGAGTGTTCCTGGAAGCCCGAGAAGGGCCCGGAGCCCCTGCTGGCTGCCGTGTGGCCTCTCTGACCAAGTCTCCGCGCCAGGTGAGGGATACACTGGGGGAGCCCAAGACTAGAAGAGAAAAGGAATTTGTGACACTGTCCCCTTTCCCTGTTGCCCCTCTCTTTTCTGTGCTGATGATCCAGGGAACATTCTGGGCTTATTGGCCCACTTTGCTTTCAGGGTGGGTGACAAAGGATAGAGGCCAGGTGTTAGAGCAGTGGCTTTAGAGGGAGGGCTTCCCCTCCCCTTCCCCCCCCCCGGCATGTCACTTAACCTCTGTTTGCCTCAGTTTCCTCACATGTAAAATGGGAACATTAAAAGCCCCTGCCTCCCAGGATTTTTGTGATCCTCACAACTCTGGATGGTAGGTACTGTTATTATGCCCATTTTACAGATAAAGAAGCTGAAGGGGAAGGGACAGCTAGGTGGTGAAGTAGATGGAGCACCAGCCCTGGATTCAGGAGGACCTGAGTTCCAATCTGGCCTCAAACACATAACACTTACTAGCTGTGTGACCCTGGGCAAGTCACTTAACCACCGTTGCCCCCAAAACAACAAAAAAAAGAAACTGAAAGGGGAAAAAGGTTAGGTGACTTTCCCAGGATCACATGGCTAGCAAGGCAAGATTTGAACTCTGGCCTTCCTGATTCCAAGTCTAGCACTCTGTCTAAGGTACCACCTAGCTGACTGAAAGGAGGGGGTTGGATTTGGTGGCCACTAAGGTTCCTTCCAATTCCAAATCTATGATCCTGTGAGGGTAATTGAGGCATGGGGGACAGCCTGGAGGGAGGGCATGAAATGCTAAAACAGTGAGTAGAACATTGGCTGGGGTGCAGTATCGGTAAAGGTGAATAATACAAAATAAGCCTGGAAGGGTAGAGTAGAGCCAGGTCGTGGAGAGCTGTGTGTACGATTCTTCTTCTTAAATAGCTTTTATTTTTCTCTATGCTAACTGACACACAATGATAACATACTTCTCTACAATAAACACAATTTAGCCAGTTGCCACAGTTACCTATATTTATAGGCAAACTGCATTCCCTTCACCATCTGTCTTTGTACTGAAGGCCAGGCTCCCGTGTTCTCACCCTTTATTCAAGTATATTCTATGAATTATTCATGAGTGGGTGGAGGGAGGGGGGGCACCTCACTTTACATTTTCATCAACTTTAACTATGGCCACTTCCCCCCTACTGATATATGGGGAAGAAAGTCCAAGGACTGGAGAAGAAATTGCTGGGGTATCATTCTAGGCTGTGGCCTATCTTGTAGATAGAGCACTGGATTTGGGGGCAGGACCAGAGTTCAGGTCTCAGCTCTTCCCCTATGTGACTTCAGACAATTCATTTAACCTCTCTTGGCCTTAGTATCCTCATCTGTCAAAAATCCAAATCAAACCATAATGAATTCCTAGGTCCTTTCAGTTCTAAATCTACTTCTTTTAATTGCATGATTCTGTGATACTGGGCAGATATGTCTTCTCTTTTCCGTCTGGATTTGGAGGTGATGATGATGATGGATAGCTAGCATTTATATAGCACTTACTCTGTGCCAGGCATCACGCTAAGAGCTTCACAGATATTATCTCATTTGATTCTCACAACAAACCTGGGAGGTAGGTGCTGTTATTATCCCCATTTTACAGATAAGGAGACTGAAGCAAACAGGAGTTTAGTGACTCGCCCAGGGTCACACAGCTAGTGTATGTATCTAAGGCTAGATTTTGAACACAGATGTTCTAGAGTTAGGCCTGGTGCTCTATCCACTGAGCCACCTAACTGTTGCCTCTGAGAAATTCACAAACACATCAAAGTGCTTCTAGTGAAAGGGGCTTCATCCTTGGGGCCCTTAGACTGATCTTTAACTCCTCTCCTGTGTCCCCTTTCAGCCCACAGGAATCCAGGAGGTCATAGAAATTGGAAGCTGTGGGACTCCAGAACAGAATTCCTCATTGGAAGGGAGCAAGCCATAAACATATCACCCCTTTGGAACATGAGGAGGGGTCAAAGGCTCCCTGTCATCCAGTTCCCAGAGAGGAAACTAGCAGTCACAAAGAAGACAGAGAAGGCATGGGATAGTCTGGAGAAAGTGCTGGACCGGGTCGAGGAAGGAGCCAAGTTCAAATCTTGCTGCTGATACTGTGAACATGGGCAAGGGGCTTTGCCTCTCTGGGCCTCAGTCTCCTCATCTGTAAAATGACAGGGTTGGATTAGGTGAGCTGAGGTCCCTTCCCGTTCTAAATCTACGATCTATGCCCCATGTAACTGCTGAAGTCACAGGTGGCCCAGCATGAGGGAGCCAGAGTGGAAACCTCATCCTGAGGCTGGAGGGCCTGATCTGGGAAGGGAAGGGCATCCCTGGCTGCAGTGAGATCTCCGCAGCATCCCTGGTAGGAGATAACTTGGAGCCGCAGGTGATGGAGACAATCTGAAGTTGGTACCTGAGCCTTACCTTGCTCGAGTTCTATCATTTCTCTGTCTCTGAGAGCAATTGGCTGAAAGTAGCTCATCTTTGGCACCCTCGGAAAGGTGAGCCAACAGCTGGATACAAGAGTCTTGCCAGCTGGGGTCATGATCGATTGTTTATATCCCATGTCATCTCCACTGTGCCTCAGTTTCCCCGAACTGTAAACCAGGACTGGCACACCGCCAAGAGGAGCTGCTTCTAAACGCTACAGATGGAAACAGTTCCTTCCCTTTGTCCCTGACCTAAAGGACAAGAAAGAAATCTAGTAAGCAGCTCTGACCCAAAGCCACCTAATTTCCCCTCAATGACGCGTATATCGTTTTCTCCCTATGAGGTCCCAGCAAGACCTCTTTCCTCCTTCTGGCTGATTTGATTTCATACACCTGCATGTGTCCCTGTGCTAAGGCATAGGGGAGAAACCTGGTTCTGTGTTGTCCCAGGGATATAATTTAACAAAGAGCATAGATGTGGTCTGCTGCTGGTGAATCCAGCCACATGTTTAATATACGTGGTACCCTAGGGGGGCCGTTCCCAGTTCAGAATAACCAAGGCCAGTAAACTGTGGCTGTGTCCACAAACGAGGAGAATGAGTTCACCTGAGACAACCAGCTGGGAAGATTGATGCTGATGTAAATAATACATAACTGATCTTGTCCTCTAGGCAGATATTCGTTGCTTGTAGCTCAGGGACCCACTATAATCACATATCTCTTTCTGCCAGCTGGACCCCCCAGCCTCCTGCCCTGTGGGCATGAAATCACCCCTCTATCTGGCACCAGCATTGGGACCATCAGTCTGAGATCCAGAACCAGCGAAGGAGCCCAGGACAAAAGAGAAGGGGGAATGGAAGGCAAATAAATGGGAGAATCTCTCAGCTGTATTCACTGACAGCATCCTTTATAGAGGGTCATTCAGGAGTGGGGCAGCTAGGTGGCGTGGTGGATAGAGCACTGGCCCTGGCATCGGGAGGACCTGAGTTCAAATCTGACCCCAGACCAAACACTTGACATTTACTAGCTGTGTGACCCTGGGCAAGTCACTTAACCCCAATTGCCTAAAGAAAGAGAAAAGCCTAGGAGTGTGGAAATGGGGTAAAAGGATGGTATGCAGAGAGAGCAAGGATTGGGGAAATAGAGGCAAGATGCTCAGGAATAGTGTGGAATGGCCAGTCAGCCTTTATATGCACTTACTGTGTGCTAGGCATTGTGCTAAGTGCAGGGGATGGAAAAATAACAGGCGAAAATACAGACCCTGCCCTCGAGCTCACAAGCGTCAGGAACAGAAGTCTCTCGGCCAATCAGGAGTCACATATGTGGTTGTCCTTTAGGACAGTGAAGTCAAACTCAAATAGAAATGGGTCCCTTCAGAAAACCACGAATTAATATTATGTATGTTGTATTGTATTTTTATTTATTTTATTAAACATTTCCCAATTACATTTTAATTTGGTTGGGGCTATACTTCGACACCTCTTCTTTAGGGGGCCCTCAACTCACCTGGGGGGGGGTGCTATACTGGAGAGAAAAAGATAAAATCAGCCTAATTCCTGAATTCAAGGAATTTTTCCACTTGGAGCAGAGAGGGTTGCTCTCATGTACTATACACAAATAAGTGCATTCATGGTTTATTTTACTGACTTTATGTACACAAAATGTAAAGTAATTTTAGGAGGAGGTAGGTAGACAGTACTCCTCAAATTTTTGATTTCAGAACCCCTATATAGTCTAAAAAATTACTGAGCACACCAGAGTTTTTTTTTAAATGTGGGCTATATTTATCAACATTTGCCATATTAGAAATTAAATCCAAATTTTAAAATATTTATTCATTTTTAGATAATAACAATAAACCCATTATATACTATCATAAGTAACATTTTAATGAATAACTATTTTCCAAAACAAAAAAAGATTTAATGAGAATATCATTACTTTATATTTTTTCAAGCCTCTAGTATCTGGCTTAATAAAGATGGCTGGGTTCTCCTATCTGCTTCGGAATTTAATCTACTGTGATATGTTGTTTTGGTTGAAGTATGTGGAGAAATATAGGAAAAGGGAGAAATATTTGAATAGACAAATAACGTCTTGTATTATCATGAAAATAGTTTTGACCTCACAGGCCCCCTGAATAGGCATCAGACAGCTCCAGGGATCCTCAGGCTCATCCTTTGAGAGTACTGATAGTATAATGGATAGAAGAATGTTCATTTGGAGTCAAGTGACATAGTGGATAGAGGGCTGGGCCTGGAGTCAGGAGATCTGTTTCTTAGCTTAAATCTGGCCTCTGACGCTAGCTGTGTGACTTTGGACATGTCACTTCACCCTGTTTGCCTCAGTTTCCTCATCTGTCAAATGAGCTAGAGAAGGAAATGGCAAACCACTCCAGTATCTCTGCCAAGAAAACTTCAAATGGGGTCACAGAGAATGAAACAGGACTGAAATTACTGAATAACGACAAAAATGTTTGAATCCTCTCTGAGGTGCTATAGGTGTGACACTGGACAAGTCCTTTGGCCTCAGTCTCCTTATTTGTAAAATGGGGATAATCATTGCACCTTGCTCACAGGGTTATGGTGAGGATCAAATGAGTTTTAAAATCTGTCAAGTGCTTTGTAAACCATAAAGTGCTACATATACATCATTTATTATTCTAGGAGAGGAAAGTGAGAGGCTGGGAAGTCCAGATGGAGGGACAGTTGACTGTGCAAGCAATGAAATAGTATCTTTTAGGAACAGCTGGATACAGGCTAGCAGGAAGGGGACGAAGGTCAGAAAAGACCATCCGGATGATCCTCCTGGTCATTGTCCCCCTTAGCTTCATGCCTGGCCCAAGATAAGAAGAGGTCTCCTATTTGCCCTGGAAGGGTGGCAGAGGCAATCCGAGTCTAGATGGCAGCAGGAGGCTGAAGTTAAAGTCTCAGGTCTGTCCTTGCTTGCACTGAGATCTTGGGTTAACACACAGCCTCTGGATCATAGATAAGGCCCCATGAGTAGAGGAATATAATAGCCTGGGATCTTTAAGAGGCTTATTTAAGAATCATATGTCACTCCTCCTCCCCTACCAAGAGTACAACAACCAAGAGTACATTCCAGCCTCTTCTCAGAATGACTTACCATTAAAAGGTTCTGGGACAGAGATCTCACTTGATCAGCATTTTCCAAAGACTCCTGGGAGGTCAGAAGGATGGATGAAATCAAGAGTGGAAAATGCTTGGAGGAAGATATTACGGTGGGCTGCAGTGCTCTGCTTCTGGCCAAGTGAGAAACTCTCCCCCCTCCCCCCTCTTTCCCCCCTGTATTCCCAGAATCCTGAAACCCCTTTGGTTTCCCTTTAGGTCATTTCTGCAGGTGATGACTTTAATTTCCAACTTGATTTCTGCTGGAAGAGCTAAGATGGGCCCGCAAAAGGACCAGAAGGTCACCTAGTCCTTGCATTTCAAAGAGACAGAAACTGAGGCCCAAGGTCACACAGGTACCAAGTAACAGCCTTAGGAGTCAATCCCAGGTGCTGTACCTTCAAATAGGGTGTTCTGTCTGCCACTCTACCATGCTTCCTGCCTCTTCCCACACTCCAGACATCGAAGTCTCCCTACTTTCAGTGTCCCCCTCACCAGACTGAGGGCTGAAAGGACATCAGAGCCAGCTGGCCTGGCCTTCCCATGCTGTGGACAATTTAGAAGGAGTTGGGTGGTGCAGTGGGAAGAGCACTGGAGTCAGGTAGACCTGAGTTAAAATCCAGACTCTCAGATAACTTAGTAGCTGTGTGACCCTGGGCAAGTCATTTAACCTTTCTCAGACTCAATTTCCTCATCTATAGATTGTAATAATAGCACCTATTTCCCAGGATTGTTGTGAGGATCAAGGGAGACAATATATGTATACTGCTTTGTAAACCTTAAAATGCTATCTATTTGTTATTATTAATTATTATCCCCACCTTAACTTGAGGAAGAAGTGTTTCTGTTCTTTGAAGCTAACTCTTTTATTTCTTGCTTCTCTCCATCCCCTCCTCTGCCATCTACAAGACTATGTTCCATTAATGTTCCCTTTCTATTTGGCTCCTTTTATCTTTCTCCCTCTTTTTTTTAAGAATATATTTTTTTCTCAATTACATGTAAAACCAATTTTTAACATTTTTTAAAATAATTTTTAAGTTCCAAGTTCTCTTCCTCCCCTTTCCCCTCTTCGAGAAGGCAAGTAATCAAATACAGATGATACATGTGCATTCATGCAAAACCTATTTCCATATTAGCTATGTTGCAGAAGAGAACACAGACAAAAAATAAAGAAAATTAAAGAAAGTTTTAAAAAGTATACTTCAATCTGTATTCAGACTCTGTCAGTTTTTTTCTCTGGAGGTAGATGGCATTTTTCAATACTGTCAATTCAAGTCCTTCCAAATTGTCTTGGATCATTGTGTTGCTGAGAATAGCTAAGTCATTCATAACTGATCATTGTACAATATTGTTGTTATTGTGTACAATGATTTCCCTCTTTCCTAACCAAATATATGCTTAACTCCTTAGCTCAAAAATTCACCAAAAAATTCCTTTTCCAGGATTATCTTTCACAAGTTCCTCCACACTTCAACCAAGTGATAAATCAGTTAATCAACAAATATTTAATCACCTACCTGGTGAAATTAAGCATAATACTTCAAGGGACAAAATGAAATAGAATGAAATAGAAAGATTTCAAGCTTTCATAAGGAGAAGACCAGAATTGAACAAAAAATTTGATCTCCAATATCAAGACCTAAAGAAGCCTAAAAAAGTAAAAATGGAAAAGAAAACTTAAGGGATTCAATGGAGCTGGACTGTTTACGTCCCTACATGAGAAGATGATACTTGGGATTCTTAAAAATTGTACCATTAATGGCACAGCTAGAAGGAATATACATAGACAGAAGGTACAGACATAAGGTGAATTGGAGGGAATGACATTAAAAAAAATAAGGGATGAGAAAGAGGAGTACACTGGGTGCAAAAGGGAGAGGTAGAATGGGATAAATTATTTCACATGAAGAGGCTCAAAAAACTAATTAGAGTGGACAGAAAGATGAGAAGGTGGGCAATGGGAATCGCCTGAACCTTACTGTCATCAGTATTGGCTCAAAGAAGGAATATCAAAGAGGGAATAATCAGCTGAATATTGAAATCTATATTTCGGGACAGGCAAGTAGGAGGGGAGGAGACTAAGTAAAGGTCGGGGGTGGGGGGGGGGGGAGACTGACAGAAGAGAGGGCAGACCTAGGGAGGCAGTAGATAGAAGCAAAACAGTCGAGGAGGGAAGGGGTGAAAGGACAGAGGGGACAAGTGAGGAAAAATAAGATAGAGGGAAATATACAGTAATCAACTGTGAATATGAATGGGATGAACTCTCCCATAAAACAATTGTGTAGCAGAGTGGATCAAAAATATGTTGTTGATAAGAAACAGTGCAGAGAGACACGCAATAAAGGTGAGGGGCTGGAGCAGAATCTGTTATGCTTCAGCTGAAGTTAAAAAAAAAAAAGCAGGGGTAGCAATCCTGATCTCAGACAAAGCAAAAGCAAAAATAGACCAAATTAAAAGAGATAAGGAAACTACAGTCTTGCTAAAAGGTACCATAGGCAGTGAAGTAATTTCAATACAAAACATATATATATGCACCAAGTGGTATAGCACCCAAATTCTTAAAGGAGAAGTTAAGTGATGGGAATGGCTGAACAAGTTGTAGTATATGAATATAATAGAATACTACCGTGATAAGCAGACAGACTTCAGAAAAACCTAGAAAAACTTACATGAACTGATGCTGAGTGAAGTGAGCAGAACCAGGAGAACACTGTACACAGTATCAGCAACACTGAGTGAAGATTAACTGTGAATGACTCAGCTCTTCTCAGAAACACAATGATGCAAGACAAGTCCAAAGGACTCGCGAAGGAAAATGCTCTCCACATCCAGATAAAGAACTGATGGACTCTGAATGCAGATCAAAGCATACT